CCTAAAGCTATTAGGGAAATATACTCTATACCTATATATAGCTACTAAGGCGTAACTAAGATATAGAAACGCATTAGATAACACTATAATAAAACGGCTATATAATAAGAAGTATCTTTAGTAATTAGGGACTATAAGGTTTATATAAAAAGCAAACCTAGTTAATATTAGCCTTATAGTAAGATATAGCTACTCCTAGTGCTATAAACTATATAGGAATCTATCTCATTAGACTTTATCACTAAATTACTTAAGTCCTAAGAACTAATAACTAAGGTCTACTATAATAGTATTCTAGTTATTATTAATAGACTTATAAAGTATTTATACTTTATCCTATATATAGAGTCTAGCACTATAGAAGACCTCACCTATAAGTTTCTATAGATAATTATTAGCTAATATGGAACGCTAAAGGAAATTATATCTAATAGAGATAAGTTATTTACTTCTAAGTTTTAGAGATCCCTAATCTTATAGCTTAGATCTAATTACAAAATATCTACTACTTTTTATCTATAAACTAATAGCTAGATAGAATAAATCAATTAGATTATAGAAACCTATCTATACTACTATATTAACTACTAGTAAGATAACTAGGTGTAATTACTACCTATAGCCTAGTTTGCCTATAATAGCGCAGTAGGAGAAAGTATAAAAGAATTACTATTCTATCTAAACTATAGATTTAACCTAATAGCCTATAGAGAACCATAATAAGGCCTAGTAGCTCTAAAAGCTATAGTAGATATTAATAAACTTAAGGAAATCTAGTAAGAGCTACCTAGAGAACTTAAATTTATATATAAATAAATGCGTAAATATACTAACACCTTAAGAGTTAAGGGACTAACTCTATAGGAGGGAGATAGTATATACCTTCTCTACTAAAATATTAAGATAAAACGACTAAATAATAAGTTAGACTTTAAGAAACTTAGACCTTTTAAGATTATAAAGAAGGTATTTAATATTAACTTTAAACTTATACTACTAGATACTATAAAGTGTTATCTAGTCTTTTATATTTCACTTCTCAAAAAAGCACTAGTAGGTTCACATATAGAAGACTATATCATTATAGAACCACTAGAACTAGAATATAAAGTCAAATAAATTATTAACTACTATAAAAACAATAGAAATATAGAATACCTCATTAAATAGAAGGGGTATAGATATAAAGATAACTCATAGGAACCCATTAAAAACCTCTAGTACTCCTAGCAGCTGCTATAGGAGTATCACTAAGTAAGGGACCTAAGTCTATAAACTCCTCCCTAATCCTAAACTTAGTCTAGGAAGGGTCGTTCTTAACACCTCTAGCCTAAAGATCCTCTATAATATATTGCTTATAGGTATCTAATATAGGAAGAACGTTATTAGCCTCCTTAAGTTCCTATATCCCCTAAGTAAACGTCTCTATATAACGCTCCTTAATTAACTTCTAAGTTATATAAATATAAGCTAAACGACTAGCTATATTAGCTACCTCTAATTATACCTAAGTAAGCTTCTTATAGAGCGCTAATAGAGCATTACTAACTTACTCCTCCTTTTCCTCCCACTCTTAATGCTAGTTACTAAGACGCTTTACTATAATAAGTTAGAAGTAGCCTATAAAGAAAGATATAATAGGACTTATAGCTTAACGTAATAACTAGTCTATTATAAGGACGCTTTAAATTCTTATACCTATAATAGACCTTAGAACCCTCTGCTATATAATAAGGACGCTTTGCCTAGAAATAGTAAGTATAGGGTATAACGTTAGAAGAACTAAAGTACTTAAATACGTTATTATAAGTAGAATAAAGAATAGATTTTAAATCTTTTAATTTTTAAATATAACCTAATATAATATTAATATTATAGAGATTAGGAAGTATAATTAATGCCTCCCTAACCTAGGAGATACTACCTACTTATATTAGTCTAAGGGACTAGACCTTTAAAGAGGGGACTTAATATTATAACCTATTAGGTATAACTAATAAAGGACGCCCTATTAGGATACTAGGCGGTTATAATAACACATTTATATATAGGATCACGGGAACACATAAGGATCCCTTAGGAATGGAAGAACTATAGTATAGGTCATATAATAATAAGATAAGAGATTAAATCTATATAATTAAGATATAGCATCCATATTCTAGAAAGATAGAAGCCATATACCAAGGATACGGGAGCCGTACAGGGCATGTATGGCACCCAGCAGTAGGACTACCCAGGACCTATATATAGGATAGACTTAAGTCTGCTTAAGGACAAACTTCTATAGCTCTTTAGTAATTAACTTATAATTATTACTTATAATACTTTTAGTTATACCTAAGTGATAATTACTCTATAACTCTTATTAAGGCCTTAACTAATTACTAAGACCTTTAAAGACCTATAATTACTCAATTAGACCTATAGAATAACTTAATACTATTTATAGTTCTTAATCCCTAACTTACTACTAATACAAACCCACTATCAGTTAGCTGGCCGTAACACCAATCCTCCAAGCTAACGCTGTTCCAATCCACTACGCTAAAGGCCCCAGTAGCCTATAGGGCCCCAACAGCTGAAGATTCCGCACTCTGCAAACCCAGTGTTGCTTCACAATTCTCCTCCTCAACCTCCTCTATACGCTAAAGACCTAACTAGATTAAGTCTATAGCCTTATAATTAATTTCCTTTTAATAATAATAAAGGCGCTATATCTTAGTTATAAGAGCGAGCTGCTCTTCCTCTAGCCTATTAAGTTTGTTATCTACTTTAACCTTTTGTTTTTAAACCTAGATTAGTAATAACGCTAAAGGACTATAGATATTATAAGATTTCTTCTAGCCTATATAATAGGAATAACGTAATAAATTAACCTCTAATATAATATAATTAACCCCTAAGGCAGTATATAAGGAATAAGGAAAAGGTATCTTATATCTAAAAAGGGAGACTAGTTAACTTAGCTCCTTATAGGCAATAGGATTTTTTAATTTTAATTTTTAAATGCAACCTAATATAGTATTAGCATTATAAGGAAATTAGGAAGCATAATTAATAACTCCCTAACCTAGGAGATACTACCTACTTATATTAGTCTTAGGGATAAGACCATCTAAGGGGAGACCTAATGTTACAACCCGTTAGGCATACTTAGTAGAGAAAAAGCCCCATAAGGATAACTAGGCGGCTAGAACGTCACATTTATATATAGGATCATAGGAATAGAAAGGACTCACCTTAGAACGGAAGAACTATAGAATAAGTTATGTAACCTCAGCTAATGAGATAAGAGTTAATAGAGTTGGTGGCCAACTCTAGCGACTCTTAAGTATATTAATTAAGATAAAGTCAATAGAGTTAATAGTTAACTCCTATAACTTTAAGGTAGAGGTATAGAGGAACGGCTTAGGACTTATATATAGGATGGACTTAAGCCTGGCTTAAGGATAGACTTCTATAGCTCTTTAGTAATTAACTTTATAACTACCCTCACTAGTACTTTTAGCTATACCTAAGTAATAACTACTCTATAACTCTTATTAAGGCCTTAACTAATTACTAAGACCTTTAAAGACCTATAATTACTTAAATAGCCCTATAGAACGACTTAATACTATTTATAGTTTTTAATCCCTAACTTACTGCTAACACAAACCCACTATTAGTTAGCTGGCCGTAACAATAAATAAGTTAAAATAAATAAAATAGTAATAAATAGTCTTATAAAAGTAATACTAATATAAAAATAAAGTTAATTTATTATATAATTAAGTATAATTAATATTAAGTCTTTAATAACTAATAATATAATATTAGCCTTACTAAATAATATTAGTCTTATTAAGAAGTTTAGCTATCAAATTAGTTAACTCTTTCTATTTAACTTTATTATTAAATATCTTAATAACCCTATTACTTTTATAGTTAGTAAATATATTATTTAAACTACTTTAATTTATTCTTTTTAATAGTTAAAAGTCTATTTATAAAAGTTACTTTCTTTTTAAGTTATTTAATAAACTATTATTTTAAATTTAAATATCTTAATTTATTTTATAAATTAAGTTATTAATTAATTTATATTACTATTCTTTTTAATTACTATTTAATATTAATATTACTAACTTTACTATAATAAAATAATAAAATAAATAAAATAAAAAAAAAAAAAAACCCTATTAAAATACTTTTAATATTATACCTAGCTTTAAGAATAATAATATAGATTATTAATAGAGATATCTAAACTTAAAGTCTAATAGAGTAATAAAAAAACTTATTAACTCTATAATATATAAGTTATATATATTTTATAAGCTATAATTTTTATTTAAACTTTAATATTAATAATAAGATTTAAACTTAAAACGTTAAAGAGAAGCTTATTAAGCTTTTATATTTAACTATATATAGTTAATATAGTTAGCTAAACTATTATACTATATACTTTAAAATCTCTAAATATAAGAGGATTTTAATAAGAGTTTTAGAGGTAATTAAAGCTATAAGGGTATCTTATTATTATTATATAATATTATTTATTATAATAGGGAGTTATTATTTTATTTTATATAGCTATTAAGGTCTATTTTATATATTTAGAACTTATAATATTAATATTATAAGATCTAAAGGGGTATATTAAACTTTATACTATTTAACTAATATAAGTACTAATTTAATAAATCTACTTATAGATTCCTATCTAAATATAGCTTATTTATATTAGGTATATATACCCTCCTTTTTTCTAGTGCTTAAGCTAATTTAGCCCCTTTTAGCTAGTTATATATTAATTAATATTTAATATACTATATTGCTAGCTATAACTATTGCTTAATAAGGACCTTACTATTCCTATCTCACTCTCACTTAATAACTCACTCTTAAGTCTCACAATACAACCACATACACGACAACTCAGTTCCGAACAGACCAAGTCCCAATATTTCTGTGAGATTATCGTCAAAACGCCCGAGTAGCCTTCGTCAACCATGGCCGTAAAAGCCCTCATCTCCACTCTCGAGGATGAAATCCTTGATCCCGAAGAAGGTACGCTCAAACTCACCTCACCACCAGAGATAGAAAACTCACAAGATCTCGCCCCAGAAACATTCTTCCTCTTCTCCCACGACATGCCCTCCTCGAACCTGGGCTTCATCGACCCCAAAGCGACGACCCTCTCCCTCACCCTCGCAGACCGGGACTTCACGATCCACCAGTCGCCCACGGTCCTGTCATCGACACGCGCGGGCGGCACGACCGGCGCCGGTAAGTCTATCAAGACCTCACATCTCATCCGCGACCTTCTCTCCCCGGACAGACCGAGGAAAAAGCGCACCTTCAATCAACCCAAATACAAGAGTTACACCCATGCTAACTCCCACTCCCAAAAAAAACAGTCCTCTGGAAGATAACACCCCTCTTCGCCACATACCTCTCCTCCCCAACATCCCCCTTCACCCAAATCTTCACCCCGTCCTCCACCATTCTAGAACTAGGCTGCGGCATATCGCCCTTGACAGCCCTCCTCCTCGCCCCGCGCGTGTCCCGCTACATCCTGACGGACCAGCCCTACGTCTCGCGCATGATCCACCAGAACCTCGAAGCAAACCCCCTGCCGTCATCATCATCCTCGTCAAAACAATCCTCCTCCTCACGCCGGCGAAAAGGCGGAGGAGGAACCACCGGCAGTAGTAGCAATGCAGCAGGCAGTGGCAGTGGCAGTGGCGGCACGATCGAGTTCCGCTCCCTGGACTGGGAACTCGACACCCCGACCCCGGACCTCACGGGCTCCCCCTCGGCCCGCAGCTTCGACGCCGTCGTCTGCTGCGACTGCATCTACAACGAGGCCCTGGTCGACCCCCTCGTCTCCACGACGGCCGACCTCGCTCGTCTCCGCCTCCGCGCCGCCCAGGAGGACCTAGAGGAGGCGGGTGCGGAGCCGGAGCGGTCCGAGCCGTGCCTCTGCATCGTCGCCCAGCAGCTGCGCAGCCCCGACGTCTTTGAGGAGTGGGCCAAGGCGTTCCACGAGCGGTTCCGCGTCTGGCGCGTCCCCGACGACTTGCTGCCGGAGGGGCTCAGGATCGAGTCCGGGTTTGTGGTGCACGTGGGGATCTTGAGGGAGGCTGGGTACGAGATCTAGATGTGCGTGTAGATGTGCGTGTGTGAGGGGTGAGTCACGGCGGTTTGAGCAAGACAGATGTTTGTTGCTTGGAACGGCGCAAAAAAAGGCGATAGCTCGTTTTGTGCTGCGCATCTACCATACATCTGATAAAAAAACAACTTTTGGGCTTGTTATAAAAAGCCACGTGACCAATCCCGTTAGTTTGATTTCCCAATCGCCGCCAGCATATGAATATGCTCAAAAAGCCAAAGTACCCATCGTATCGTAGACACGTTACTTGCAAATTTAAACTCCACATGACCCATCCCTTATCGTTTTTGTTCTTTTCTTTACTTTATTTTGTTTCTTACCACTCGAGAGGCTCGGTCTTGGTCTCGCCGCGGTTCGTCTTGGGGACGGGCACCGCCTTGGCGTAGAGCTGGCCGGTCTTGGGATTCCTCCTGAGGTAGTTGGTGCCGTCGAGCCAGGGGGTGGTCTGGGACATGCGGCGCTCGTAGTCGGTGATCTTATCGTTGAGCTGCATGGTGAGGCCGATGTCGTCGAGGCCGTTGATGAGGCAGTGCTTGCGGAACTCCTCGACGTCGAAGCTGGCGAGGGTGTTGCCGTCGGCGTCCTTGATGAGCTGGTTCGGCAGGTCGATCTCGACCTCCTTGCCGGCGCGGGCCTCGTCGGCGATTCTCTCGAGCTTGGCCTGGTCGGGGATGACGATGGGCAGCATGCCGTTCTTGAAGGTGTTGTTGAAGAAGATGTCGGCGAACGAGGGCGCGAGGACGCACCGGATGCCGAAGTCGTTCAGCGCCCAGGGGGCGTGCTCTCTGGAGCTGCCGCAGCCGAAGTTGGGGCCGGTGACGACGAGGATCTTGGCGCTGCGGTAGGGCTCGTTGTTGAGGACGAACTTGGAGTTCTCGGAACCGTCCTCGTTGAAGCGGAGGGCGTGGAAGAGAGCCGTGCCGAGACCGGTGCGCTTGATGGTCTTCAAGAACTGCTTGGGGATGATGGCGTCGGTGTCGACGTTGGACATCTCCAAGGGAGCGGCGATACCCTTCAGGTTGGTGAACTTGGGGAGACCGGCGGAGCTTCCTGCAGAGGCGGCGGCCGTGGTGTTGGTGTGGGGCTCGTTGTCCTCGGGCTGGTCGGCGATGGCGTCCTTGTCGGAGTCGCTCTCCTGCACCCGCTCGTCGACGTGAGGCTCGACAGGGGTGATGGCCGCCTCGATGTGAGGGCTGGCCTTGTAAGAAGACAGTTTCCTGACGTCGGCGAGCTTGCCAACGATACCGGCGGCGGCAGCCATGACGGGGGACATGAGATGCGTCCGGCTGCCGGCACCCTGGCGACCCTCGAAGTTTCTGTTGCTGGTTGACGCGCATCTCTCCTTGGGGGCGAGGATATCGGGGTTCATGCCCAAGCACATACTGCAACCGGCCTCGCGCCACTCGAAGCCGGCATCGGTGAAGATCTTGTCGAGACCCTCGGCCTCGGCCTGGGTCTTCACGAGACCGGAACCGGGCACGACCATGGCGCGCTTGATGTTGGCGGCGATCTTCTTGCCCTTGACGACGTGGGCAGCGGCGCGCAGATCCTCAATACGCGAGTTTGTGCAAGAGCCGATGAAGACCTTGTCGACGGGGATGTCCTCCATGGGGGTACCGGCGGTCAGGCCCATGTACTCGAGCATGCGGCGACCGGCGGCCTTCTTGGCCTCGGTGGAGAAGGTCTCGGGGTCGGGGACGGTGCCGGTGATAGGGATGACGTCCTCGGGACTGGTACCCCAGGTGATGGTGGGGATGATGTCCTTGGCGTCAATGAAGACGTCGATGTCGTACTTGGCGTCGGGGTCGGACTGGAGGGCCTTCCAGTACTTGGTGGCCTTGTGCCACTCGTCGGAGTTGTACTTGGGAGCGAGGGGGCGGTTCTTGAGGTACTCGAAGGTGATCTCATCAGGGGCGACCATTCCGGCTCTCGCGCCACCCTCGATGGACATGTTGCAGATGGACATGCGGGCCTCCATGCTGAGGCTGCGGATGACGGAACCGCAGAACTCAATAACAGCACCGGTTCCGCCGGCAGTACCGATCTTGCCAATGGCGTGGAGGACGACGTCCTTGGAGCTGACGCCGGGGGACAGCTCACCGTCGACCTGTATCCTCATGTTCTTGCTCCTCTTGGTGATCAAGCACTGGGTGGCCAGGACGTGCTCGACCTCACTGGTACCAATACCGAAAGCGAGGGCACCGAAGGCGCCGTGGGTGGAGGTGTGACTGTCACCGCAGACGACGGTCGTGCCGGGGAGGGTGAAGCCCTGCTCGGGGCCGATAACGTGGACGATACCCTGGCGCTTGTCGCCGAGGCCGAAGTATGTAAGGCCGAAGTCCTTGACGTTCTCCTCGAGGGTGACGCACTGGACGCGGGAGTCCTCCTCTTCAATGAAGGAGCCAATGTCCTTCATGGCTTTCCGTGACGAGGTGGGGACATTCTGTCGACGGGCGGGTCAGCGACTTGGAAATCCGAATCGGTTTTCGCATCAATTCAAACTTACGTGGTCCGTCGTCGCCAGAGTGCAGTCGGGACGGCGCACTTTGCGGCCGGCATTCTTGAGACCCTCGAAAGCTTGCTGCAGGCTTTGTTAGCGAGCTGCGATGGTGGGGTCGATCTACCGACGTCATCCGAGACGCAGGGAATCGGGGCAAAAAGTTCAACGTACAGGAGAGGTGACCTCGTGAACAAGATGTCTGTCTGCAACACCACCATCGTTAGCGACTGTCACTTAGAAATACAAAGGACCGAGATTGCGGTCTTGCTCACCAATGTACAGCAGGACAGTGCCGTCGAGCTTCTCATCTACGACGTGGGCCTGGAGGACCTTGTCGTAGAGAGTCTGCGGGGTACCTTCGGCAACAGGCATTGTGTGCAACTCGAACGGGAAAAGCGAAGTCCAAAAGCAAGCAGCGTCCTCACGGTAAGCGGACGCGGGTGGGTGTATCTCCTTCCGGGCTCTCTCAGTTCAGAAGGGTGGTGGTGATGATGGTGAGTGTGAGCAGGTCTGGTTGCGTTCTCTCTGAAGCAAAGTTGACCAGAGTCAAAGTCGTGAGAAGTAGGGCGCCGAGAAAGGAGAAAGGGGAGAAGAGTAAGAAAAAATCCTGTGTCGGAGGGAAGTGGTAGGATGTGGGGGAACAGCAGCTCAATATGTATCTGCCGGACCGGGAGGCCTTCACCCCTTCACTCAGACTGCTACTGAATCAACAACCTGAAAAAAAGATACGAGAGAATACGCCCCGCGCAGTGACAAAAGTGCCCGTAACATCAGGTACCTTTCCTAACGAAACAAAATTGGCCTTTGCAGAAAGCTCATGGGCAGGCAGGGCAGAATCGGTTCCGATCATCGGAGGCGCCAGCTCCAGCCAGAGGCGGGTCCGGTCGCCGGAACGCGGGGTACAGCGCCCTGATTTGCAAATCGACGTCGCGGATTGGCCCGCTGCCGCCAGGTGCCCCTGCCCCGAGGGGTCCGCTCAGAACCTTCCAAACGCTGCCATCACGCCCCTCTGTATGAGTCTTCAACCGGCAACTCAGTCTCCAGAGACGGTCTCGTCAAATTGATCCATCGGTGTAAGGTCCGGGGGCCCTCTCTTTTTTCATCAATTTTTCTCACGGCTCGAGCCACTGCTTGACTACGAGACCGCACGTGAGCCCTCACGAGCCCGCAATCTGACGAGTAATATGGGCTGCTATGGGCTCAGTTCCGCCGAAAACAGCAACTTCTTCAATTCCCATGTGTCCGACTTTGTACCTTTGAATTGGGGCCGACCCAGCTGCGCCCCCGTTTACATCCGTTGTTTGCCGTCCGCGTTTTGCCGTTGTTGCGTTCCATTGGTATCATTGAAATCTTTCAATCTTGCACAACTTCTGATCCCGGCAGTTGCGAGAACAGGAGGCTGGCTGGTACCTGACCAAGTTGCCAAGGTACACACAGAGACAGCTCAGCAGTGCCACGCGTATTGACAATCCCATCTCACAAATGGATGCAACATCCGGCGTCCGTCGCTTACTCCATGATGACGCTGCAGAACCGCATAACCACATCTCCAAGGCCTAGATTGGCGCCGGCCGACTTGCTGAGACGGACGCCAGTCATCATCGACCACTCGCAAACCCCAACTCACCGCATCGGCCGCGGCTCCTGCGGTGATCCCAACACTCGTCCCAAGCTAAACCGGAGCTGAGGTACAAAACTCGACACCTAGACCCGATATGCCGGCCAGATCATGCACCTCGCACTTCCCAGCGCCCGTTCTGCCATGCACAACACTGATTCAATCAACCATCATGCCACATATGAATACTTCTATCATTAATCTACCTCAACGCTACTGGCTAGCCATACGACTTCCCTATCCCTTTGCATGCCTGTACAGCTTGCTACCCCACACGAGCTCAAACAGCGGCCGTCAGTCTCGTATCATTCATGGTTGACACTGCGCTTTCGGCCTCGCCTTATCACCCGCTCCCTCTCCCCCAACCCAGCCGATGTGCGGCGTGGCAGGGCCGTACTGCCAACCCGGTCCCTACTGCGCCGATCGGCCGTTGGTCGGGCTCCAACGCCAAGCATTCCTCCACAACCTCCCTTTTTCGTCATCGCCGCAGCGGCCGGCTGTCAGGAACCGAGAATCGCAATCAAACATCCCCAACCCTCTCAAACCCCCAGAATCGTTTGCATCAACTGCGTCGCCCAGGCTATTCCCCGTGACACCCGTATTGCTACTGCCAATAACATGAAACTGCCGATCAACGCGAGGAAGACCACCAAGAGGTCCCACCAGGTCGACTTATTGGTGTTAAGTCGCTGCCTCAGAGGCGATGTCGGATCAAAGCATGGCGATATGATTTCCCAGTACAACTGGGCCGAAATGATCGCGAGCTGCTTGCCTCGAATGGCGTATCTTTGCATCGTGTTATTCGGCTCTTCTCTTCTCAAATGACTTTCGATGGCGCCGTCTTCGGAGCCGTTGGCCTGCGGGTTTGTCGAGGCTTTGGAGCCAGTCTTCAACATGGCTAGATCGGCTACACTGGGTTGTTTCGTCAGCTTGAGAGTATTGCAGAGCCCTCTCTGATTGGAGCTGCCCTGCCCTTCCCGATTGAGGTTGTCTGGTTTCTTCTGATTGGCTTTGCTCAACCCCTTCTCCTTGACACCACTTTGCTGTCTCTGATTTGAGCCGCTCTGCTTTGGGTGTGTGAGGTTGGCGGGCATCTCTTGTTTGATGCTGGCTTGTTGTTCCTGCCTTCTCTGGTCGAAACTCCCCGCCTCTCTCAGTTCGATGTTGTCCTGTTGCACCTGTGGGAAGTCGTTCTTCTGGGCTATGGGGAGTAAGCTTCCACTCATCATGTACTCCGGTTTCGCAGGTTGCATACTGTTGCTCCCAAGCACTGCTCCGCTCACATTGGGGTCGCCTCGCATCTCTACCCAGACTGACTTGGCATGCCTGAGAACTTCCGAAATCGCCCCCTCTGGCTTCTTCCCTTTCCAAATTACTTTGCTCTCGTTGGCTGCTCTCAGCGTGCGGAGACCATTCTGCAACCTCTTTCTGGGTACGCCATTGGGAGGCAGGTCCTTTAGACTGAGACGCCTGGCCGTTCCCTCCCCATGCTTGTTCATGGGATACTCGTTTCTCGGAGTTTCCGCCGTCCTGTTGTCCGAATCGACCACTGCGATTTTGGCTGCCTCCAGGGGCATGATTTGGTTGAGGGCGAGATGATTGGCTCCCTGCCATCCGCTCGGGGGTGATGTAGACGTGGACGTGAGTGATGTGACAGAGCTCTCCGCCAACTCCTCCCGAGCGTTCTCCCTGAGATCGGAACTGTTGACAGGCAATCTCTGCACCACCTCTTGGGTCGCAGCCTCTGGGGGTTCCTGTCCCAAAATTGCTTTTTTCTTTCCCAGCGCCTGGTTGCGCCGCTGGACCACGGGTTGGTAACGGACCAACGATACCGGGCTGTTTTCTCTCAACGCCGATACTGGGCTGCTTGTTCGGCAAAGAGCCGATGTTGTTGGGCTGTTTTTTCCCGGTCTCAGAGTTGGGCTGCCGAATCGGCTGTGAAGTAGCTTGAACGGGCTGCCTCTTTTCACCTCCGTGGGTTGCTTGCTGGATAGGTAGCGGGCCGACTGTGTTGGGCTGCTTTTTATCGAGGTTAGTATTGGACTGACGACCTGGCAACGGTGCGGCATCTTTCGGCTGTCCTCTGTTCCTGTCAATGTCATTGTTGGGCCGTCCAGCTGGCAGTTTTCCAGGGTCGATGGGCTTCCTTCTTTCAAGAGAGGCTTCTGGCTTTCGAGTTGGCATGGGCTCGACGCCGGGCTTTCTTCTTTCAGGGAAAATTTCCGGTTTTCGAGTTGGCTTGGAATTTGTGTTGGCTTGTCGAAGTGATAGTGAACTGACTTCATTGATACTCCTTCTGTCGATGTCGACATCTGATCGTCGCATCGCAGACTTAAGTGTCGGTGCGTCTCTATGCTCCATCTTCCGCTGTCTTGGCTCTCGAGGGGCTCCTGACATTGGCTCGACATACCAGGACTTTGGTCGGATCCAGTAGTGGTGGTGATGGGTATGAGAGCAGCGTCGGCCGTCTTGCTCCTGGCCGTCACCCGACTTGGATCGGTGCACGCTGGGATACCTTCTTGATTCGACACCCCGCAGGCTGCCATCTCTTCCTTTAAGCCCTGCATCGCCCGAGCTGATTCGTGCTCGATTAGTCCTATGCGGTTCTCCATCAGATCCCGGACGGAGCACGTAGCCCTCTCTTTCTCTGTCAACGGCTTTATGTTTGCTGGATGAATTTGGTATATCGACCATAACTTTGACCGGGCGGAAGTCACTGAAGCTTCTCTGTCGGGAGACAGGGCTGGTTTCTTCATCTTCAAATCGGACAGATTTGCTTCGGGCTTGTGACCCTGTCCTCCTGCCGGTGTTCTGGGGATACGGAGGACCTGGAGGCTGAGTTCGGGAGCTTTCTTCTGCTTGAACGCTTCCAGGGAATCCGGTCTTTTCGTATTGCGTGTCTCTGATCCCGGGCAAGGGAGGTAATGGGCGTGTGTATCTGTCGTCTTGGCCTCGGGGAAGTTGTTGTTGGTGTTGTTTTCCAGCTGTTGGGTTACCGGAGTCCCGCTCCTGTGGTCGATCGGCAGCTGATGTGGTTGGTCGAGAAGATGCAAGAGATTGTGTTCTTGCGAATCGTTCTTTCCTGCGCTCAATGGCCCCATCTGGTTGGAAACGTCCAGGAGTGCTTGCTCGTCTCCCGGGTTGGATTCCTCCAGGGGCCGCATGCCTAAAAAAGACTCTTCATGTGCGGGTTGGCTGAGAACCGGCGGTCCCGTATCGGCAAGGGAAGTTATAGGTCTCGAATAGGGTGAAGGGGGTGTGATATGCAGCTGCGGCTCCCTTGATCTGTCATTTTCCGGTGGAACCAAATAATCAGGATGATGCTGTAGGTCTGTAAGCTTGCCTTCGCCGCCGAAAGAAGTGTCGTCGTTCCATGGTTCTCTGACACCAAGAGATAGGGATCCGGTTCGGTTTGGGTGCGGGCTATGTACGATTGTGTCTGATGAACCGGCCACGTGGTTGTCGACTATTACATGGCTTGGCAGATGAGACTTGGGGCCCGAGGCACCGGATTCAGGTGCATGGGTTTCTTCGACTCTTTGTGGTTTAGGAGATGACCGAGCATCTTGAGCACCGGACCCTGTGGTCTTATCAGTAACTGCAACGGAAGAACAAAGGTATCGAGGGTGTTATTTGAAAGTACGACAGGCTCGAGCAGATTTCAAAGAGGCTTGAGAGGGAGTTCCCTACCGTGGTTGGACATCGTCGCTACTGACTGTGCAATGGGACTGAGATTTGGCTCTTGCGCCGATGACCACTGTCCGTGATTCCGCCTCTAATGGACTTGGCGCTGGGCGTTGCGAATGGCCTCTTTTTCTCGATCCTTTTCGGCAAATCTTTCCTTCTCTCGGTCTAAGAGACTCTTCGTCTCTTGCTGGGTCAGAACCGCAGCCCCTCTGCGGGCATTTACTGGCTTTCGTTTAGCCTTTTGAAGCGACTTCTGATCAAGAGTCCAGGTGGCGGAGCTACTGGTAGAGGGTGTAAGGACATCCAACTCTCCAGTCTCGGGGTTGAAACCTGTGACGCCGAGAAAGTCGCCGCTTTTTTTGAGCAGTCTTCTTTGCGAGTGAACCAGTCGACGCTCCTCGACGCTCTTTTCCTGTCGGATGGTCCTCGTTATGGTTTCCGACTTGTTGCCAGTTTCCCGACGAGACTCGACGGATACCTCCTTGCGGTGAGACTCCGATTTTGCCGTGTTTGGCTTAGGGACGAGGTCGAAACCCTTATCGACTTGGGGCGAACTGCGGTGAGAACGACGAGTCTCAGTCTTGGTCTTTCTCTTCTCGAGGGTCTCCTAGTATCCCAGGCCTCGAAGGGTGCCCCCTTTCTCTGCGCGATAGCTCGGCAACAGGCTCAACAGTCGAGAAGTGAAAGTCGGCTTCGTGACTGAATCTTCCGATCCTCTTTTGCCAGTCCGTTGGGGGAAAACACGAAACGAGGGCTTCTGTAGCTGCTGTTCGCCGTCCGTCGGGGCGGAGTTGACTGACATCTTTGTGCTGGCAATGCTGTGGGATAACAATGCTACAGGTTAAAAAGTAAACAAACAATATTGGTTTCCCGAGAACCATCAAACAAGTCACCGGGAGTGTCCTGCAAGGAAGTTGTCAAGCCATGTGCTCGAGCCAGGCTGGAGATGGGATATCCTTGGTTCGGAAGGAGGCAGGGACCGGGCATCCAGAAGCAAGGTGCTTGAACATTACTGGCTCCGGATCACGAAGCCAATGGCTGTTTCCTCTACCTAAACTAAACATCTACCTTGCTGCCAAAGGCCTGGATTGGAAGGGGCTTTTGAATTGCTCCAACTCTTTCCTTTGAGCACCGACTCAATGCCTTTCTCTAACATTCGCTATTATTATGGGACATAACTTTCAAGAAAACAAAGTGAATGTTCCATCACTACTTTCTCCGTCACCTTGTTCAGAAACAAAGCATCATAGACAATACATTATCTTATAACTTCAGAAGAAAATAAAAACTGGGTGAAGGACCTTCTCTCTCTCTATCCAGCATCCCTACCCCATTATTCACCCACAATCCTTCGCAAACACTAAGAAATCAACTCCTACCGTACTCAATTACACAAGATGTTTACCCGATTCGGAGATCTGCCCGTCGAGGTTCGCCTCCAAATCTGGAGGCTATCCATGCCAATAGAGGACGAGCAAGAGATCTGCGTCATGCCCCGGGACCTGTTGCCTCGCGACCAGGATATCGACCGTGATATACTTCCGTTCCTCCGCTACACCAGTCATCTGGCGGTGTACACCGCGTTCCCCGTCCTCATGCACGTCTGTAATGAATCTCGCGCCTTCGTCAAGGACTCCAAGCGAAGCGGCGTAAACTTCAAAAACGTCCCAGATGGCAGAGGCAGCTTCTTCCCCGTCCCATCTCGCAAGTTTCGCCCCGACCTGGACATTCTCTACCTGCCTCCGTTCGCCTACCACGACGACAACACGAACCTGGTGGCACTTTACAACATCATCCAGAAGCCGGATGTCAAGGACTTCCTGGCGAGACTGCGCTACGTCGCAGTGGCGCACAGCGAGATCCCCGACTTCGTCGCCCATCACATCATCGAGCACTGCTACAGCCTGCAGAACCTTTCGATCGTCTTCGCCCACACCGCTCAGCAGGGAAACTGGGATCACATGTTCGAAGCTCCCGGCGGACGATGCAAACTCCAGGCCCTGGCGGAGAATCCCGAGGAGAACACGCTCTCGCCCTGGCAGCAGCAGGTCTCATTCGAGGAGCTCGAGTCTCCGTCGCCGGGGCAGCAGTTCCTGGCCGAGTACTGCGCCAAGCTGAACGAGGCCGGGGAGGAGGCGTTCCCTAAGATCTACAGGAACGGTCCGGAGGAGTACCTGGGCGACCAGTGGGATCACCACTTCAACTATTTCATGGGCTTCAGCATCCAAGCAGTCACTTTCATAGAGTACACCGGTGACGGCTGGGCCGAGAAGTGTGGCAACAGAATGTATCGACTGGATGAGACGTGGTATGAAGCCGCGGGTTTTGACCACAATGGACAGCCTCTTTAAAAGCTACAGCGAGAAACGGAACGTCTTCTTGGGGCCAGCACCTTGAGCGAGGAGGGATATAAGCTCACTAGAGTCTTCATCGTCCCCAGTCGCCTGGGGGACATTGGTGGCTTGGATGTCGTCTTTGAATACAACAAAGGTCTCGTACGGACGACGGAAAACAAACGGACAGATTTTATACAGCCGGATACACCACGGGCGGGAAAAGATACCATGGATGAGGGATGACACCAAACAATGTGTGCTCTAGTCTTGGGCTACGGATGTAAGATTTACAAGAGCGGTGAGGCATAGCTCCTTGAATCAATTGTTTCAATATGTATTTCTTGTATGATAAAATGGTAGCAGCACATAATGGCTTCCATATTACTTCGGGCGGCGACGAACTCATCTCCCCAGTCGAGGGGAAGTCAAATATAAGATCCGTTCGACATTGAATCCTGCACGGCAAGGGTCGGAGCGAAGTTTAAATAGTAAAGTCAAGGCCTAACAAGGTGGGTTTCGATATGCGAGGCGACGGCAGGAAGATGACAATCTTCTCCTGTACCTCCAGTTGGAGGTGCTCATTGTCGAGTTGCGTGTCACCCTTCTCACACATCGGCATTTTCAGCTACAACACCATACACCCACCCACCCTCTCGAAAAACTCATCGCAGGCGAGCGTATACATGTTTCGTATAAACCCAAGACGATACCAAGAAGACTTGACGCCGAGCACTCGAGACTATTCATCGCAGCGTAATTCATGATGATCCAGGTAATCGGATCTGACCTAGCGCATGCCGTGGACATCAAACGCCTCGAGAACTATTCATGCCTCGCTACTATCGGAGAGGATGCTCATCGGTCTAAAGCCTATTATGCATCTGTATGTCGTCGACTCCAAGATGACAAGTCTGAAGCAGAGCTTTTATAGTAGTTCAAACACCGCCGTTCATCTGGATAGCCAAAGGAACTTCAATTCATCCGAGGGTTGCACCTCGTTCACGCGAGCATATATATCTGTCACTTAAATCTGACACTCTGACACTTATATTCCTACTACGGCCTTAGGTGCTGGCGGCAGCTGTGATGCAGACTCGAGATTCGCAAAGAGTAAACCGATCGATATACGGAGCAGCTTGGCTTCGCATCAGAACCAAGGCGGCCATGAGAAAGATGAGGAGGACGATGGTGATGTATAAACATAAAGCGAAACAGACCAGAAGCAATGCCAAACACAGGAGTGAGTTATAGTTCGACCGCCGCTATTCCGTTGGATCGCCAAACTGAGACTCTGGCTCACACGGTTATGGCAGCTCTTGAGCGCAGCGATGATGCCCTCCTACTGACAATGCCGAACGCAAATGCATGCCGCCAGAATGGTACTCCAGGCGACCAGTTCACTTATTTATATTTGCCTCAATGAGGCGTCGAGTCCTCTGTGCACGCCTCCCGCAGACATAAACGCTCGAAGGTCTCAATTCGAAGAGCCTATCTCCGCCATAATCACAGTCTCACATGTTATTTGCGCTGACATATATCGATCCAGGCATTGGTCACTCCGAAAAAGACCAATCTTGCCACTCATACTTAGTTTTAGCCTTGTATTAATAGTTGTAACGTGAAAGAACTCCAGCCTGGATTAACCGCCCGCCGCCCGTCCTTGACCCGAACGCCGCCATATGCTAGTGTAGATACACTTGGAAAACCAAGCAAGTGAAGAGTCCGCTGTAAGCAATTTCACCTCCGGCCGTGTAAGATATATGTCCTTCTCATCCCCTCAGCACATAATTGTCGCCCTCAGTGAAACCCAGACCATCTCGACGGGTATCGCTCTCCTTGCTGCAGACTCCTGTTTCTTTTGGCACTGGCAAACGGGTTGTACGATGCCGAGTTCGTGTTCTCGAGAGCGTCGGAGCCCGTGGATCTTCTAGTCTCAGACTGCTTAAGCGGACTTCCGACCTTCACCGGGCTCCCTCCCCTGCGCTGCTCCAACGCAGCCATCTCCCGAGAATTGCGAGGAGACATAAACGCCTGGTTGACGTCGTTGAAGCTGGTCGCCTTCTTCAGGGGAGAGTTCGCGTGGGTGAACACGCCCATGTTTCCCCCAAAGTTGGTAGAGCCAGCGTTCGCAGCTACATTCGTGGTAGAGGTCGAAGTGGATTGGTACGCAGAAGGCATGCTCTGTCGAACCGCTCGCGAACTAGGCGCTGGCGTAAAGACCTCGGAGCGGCGGTTCGGCGTGGGCGTGAACAACCGGGAAGCGAAGCTACTGGTCGGCGGGGTGTGAACCGGCTCATCCTGCTTGACATGGGGGTTGGGCGTGACCACGAATTCCTTCTTGATAACGGTAGTCGGAGTGCCGAGCTCAACAAAGGACTCTTCATCCTGGGACTCTTCGGGAGAGCACTGCGTGCCGACATCGCGGACAACGGGGTGAAGGCGCGGGCGAACGAACTTGGTGTCGTATTCGTGGAGAACCTCTCTGTGGATAATGGCAGTGTCCTTGATCTGCTGGGCGTACCGCGACTGGACGAAGAGCAACTGGACCGAGAGAATGAGCTGCAGAACGACGCAGTTGAAGACCGTAACGCTGGGACGAGGATCCAACGGCACCAGCGGGAGAAACATCATGTAAACCAGGACATGGCCGGGGCTGAACAGGCAAAAGAGCTGCAGGGAAACCGGGAGAGGATCCCAGACGCTGAGCTCCCATACATCGTGCGACTTGTCGGGATGCGCTCGCGACTCGGCCGTCTCGGGGGCCAAAAGACTTCCTAGCCTTCGGAGAGGGGAGGAGGCCGACGGGTCGGTTCTCGCCTTGACTCGCTGCGCGGAAGGTGTGTGTAGTTTATCCTCGACATTAACCTGGAACAACCGATACTGCCTCGTCCGGGTCATCGCATAAAAGGCATTGACGAGGGAGAGGCCGCCAAGTATCCAGACGAGCGGGCGAACCTGATGAGAGTACGTTAGCCTGTGCAATGCGCGAGCCGCATGTCGACTGGTAACCTACCACGAAGGTGACGAAGCTGCCAGAACCCGCGTCGTTGAATACATCGTCCTCCGCCTCCGAGGTCATGCAGTTAGCCCTAGCCAGGAGGAAGGCGAAGTTGAAGCCGAGTCCGAGCTGTGTCCCCAATGCTTTCGAGTCCCAGTCCCTCGTCTCGAGCTCCTCCGACAACCAAAGGAGGGTGTCCATCGGGTTGAGCCACGCTTTCACGCGCTCAGAGAGCGGCTTCTTCCTCACAAGGCGCGGCATCCTGTTAATTGTGCGATCGTCCTCTTGTTGGTGTTTCCGTCGAGATTGATGGATGTCGGCCTGAAAGGCGTCGAAATGGGGGGTGGTGTCGACGGCCGAAGTTGGGTTGTTTGTCGTTTGTCGCTGGAATTGTTTACAAAGAAGTTGCTGGGTCTATTGATTTTTGGAGGTTGTCCCGCCAGGCAGGAGCTACGAACAGGGGTCATCAGAATGGAAAGTACCGGGCATTGCGGTACGTGCCTGCGTCAAAGGTCACCTCATGTGGTGGAGTCTGGTCGGCATCTGTGCACCTCACCAGTGTTAGCATCTTGGGTCGCAGCAGGCAGTGCCTGGCGGCAAAGCGCTAACAGTTCCAAGGATCCGCCAGTCCCCAAGGTGGTGTCGCCTGTGGCTGCTGTCCCACGACCGCCGCCGCCGCAGCAGCGTAGGTAATCAAGGCCCAGAGCAGTACGTCAATCCACTCCCGACTCCTGGTGCAATCGCAAGCTAAGCTACTCCTCCAACCAGCATCAAGTCGCCCGCTCAGGATGGCTTCGCAAGCAGACTTCAAGGACCGGCAGTTCCTCGCCGTCATCGGCGACGAGGTAAGAAAGAACCCGGCAGTGACAGACGACTTGATTGTCAATCGTGCGTGTGTGTTTTGCTGACGGCTCTCTCATTAGGACTCGGTCACCGGCCTCCTCCTCGCTGGCATCGGGGTACGCGCGCTTTCGAAATGAAACGACGATGTTCGAAGGGTCCTTTACTGACGATGCTTCTTTCTCTTCGCAGCACGTTAGCTCGGACGCAGAGCAGGAGAAGAACTTCTTGGTGGTGGATAGCAAGACCGACACCGCTGCGATCGAGTCCGCATTCGAATCGTTCACGACGAGGAAGGATATCGGCATCGTCCTCATCAACCAGCATGTCAGTTGCATCGATACTGGGACTCGTCAAAGGAGGACTACGGCTAACTGGAGGATAGGTTGCCGACCGCATAAGACATCGAGTTGATACCTACACGGCCGCGTTCCCGACCGTTCTCGAAATCCCGTCCAAGGACCACCCGTACGACCCAGAGAAGGACAGCGTCCTGCGCAGAGTCCGCAGGCTGTTTGGCGAATAAGCAAGGACGCGGCAGCATTGGGAGGATGGACAAGGATGGGAGGAACATGGCAGCACGAGGGATAAAGAATGTCAGGTTGTGGACAGACCGTGCTGGTCTATCATGAAATAAATTGAGAGCTACCAGTCTAGCACCCGCTACCCTATGTACGTACGCATTATGCCGTCACTCCTACGCAGAAAAAGAAATCCATTCGAAACGAACAATAGCACATATGGTGGTGGAACAGTCAGGAAAAGTACACAAGCGCGATGTTCCAAGGTGCTGATGCTAAAGCCGAACCATGAAGTTGAAACCCCTCATTCAATCTGGATGCGTATCGCTACGTTGCAACTGTAAGCCATGCTCATGCTCCATAATCGTGATTCCATCGTGATGCCTATGATTACTACGTTCAGAGCTCGAGACTGAAGAAGCTCTTCTTGCTGCTGCGGGAGAAGACGACAGCGGCGGTCAAGCAGGTGATGGGCTCGTCGTTGGCGGTGTAAACGTCAGCAAAGACGGTGTACTTGCCCTGCAAACGGAATCAGCCAACAAACATCACAATCGTCCACAGAAAGGGTTGACTCACGGAGGGGATCTCGTTGGGAAGCTCGACGGACTTGGTGATGCTCAGGACGCCCTTCTCGATGGGGCACTCGAGGTCGACGTTCTCGATCTGCTCGCAGAGGTCCGCCTTGGTGCTGATAAGGCGGATGAGGCCGTACTTGACCTGGAGCAGGACGTAGGCACCCTTCTCGATGGTCTCCTTGACGGTGCCCGAAGCCTTGATGACGAGCTCCTTGCCACTGAAACGGCGTGTTAGCTGAATCGTTTCACGATGTCGGGGGGGCTGTTTGTATCGTGCGTCATCGAATTCGACGCCGAGAACAAACGGAAAAGACGTACGCCTGAGGAGGGTTAGGGGAGAGGTCGACGCTCTCGATGGAGACGACGTCCTTGCTGTGGTCCTTGTCGCAGAACTCGAGGGGCGACTCGCCGGGGACCTTTTGAGCTTCGTTCACGATGACGGACTGGTCCCTCTGGACGAGGACGCTGGCGCCAACCCCGGCGGACAGGAAGGCGACAACGGCCGTAGCGAACCTCATCGTGAATAGAGGGGTGTATAGGGTGGTTTTCGGAGGGTGAGTAGTTGAAAGGAGGCGGATTGCGATCTCTAGGTGAGCAAGGTCGACGTTAGTGATGTGCTCGGCGTGAAGTCGTCGATGTCCGAGGTTCGATGCTCTCTAGCGTAGATGGCTGGTGAGGTAAGGTAGATGGATGGAGTAGTTCCTGCAAGAGGCTGTGGTTGGCAGGTGGTGAGCAATGGGGCTGGGTTCTGGGGGAGAACGTCATGGGGACGGCCCAGGATTGCTCTGATTCGTCGCGCTGGGTGGACCTTGGTTGGGGACAAGCGCCGTTTCCCTCTCCAGCGCCCATGGCGACAACAAGGTACAAGCAGAGGGTCAGATTGCGACAGAATGTCATTTTCCATGATGACTTTTGGTGATACAGTGTATCAAGTTCCTGGATAAATAATAATGGAGGCTTTCAAATTATACAAAATTTCTCAGAATTATTTCGCTTCAATTCGCGAGAGAGGACCCTTCACACTGTTTCTCCAAGAGAGGAAAGGTACATCTAGAACCTGGGATTGTTGATGCTCGACGCTCGAGCCACCTTGAATTCCCACTTTTGCGTGCCCCCAAAAACCAAATCCCACTTTTCGTTATCAGTCTTCCATTCAGTTAGTCTTCGGTGATCTCTGTGACGACCATCTCTGCGTCGACATTGGATCGCAGCAAAATGCTCTGTACGAATGTCTGTACGACGAGAAAAGAGTCTCATCATCTCAACCTCACAACTCCACGACAAAGGACTGAGGTGGCGCGAGGAAAATCTCTTCATCATCACTCAAACCCCCAATCTTTGCCTCCGCCATGCGACAACTGGAGCCTTGTCACGAAAGCTGCTGAGGGTTGTTTCGACTGTGCAGGTATCGCTGGAAGATCCCTGGAGTCGAGGTCCCGTGGACAGGTCCAAGCAGGCAGTCGACGACATCAGCATAAAGAGCCAAGTGCCCGCCTACTCTTTCCCTTCGTCTCTCAGGGTCTCCCGCCGTCACAAGTTGTCGTCTCCTCCAAGCTCCCCTGGTGGTAGGGCCAACACAGCATGGTTCCTCTCTCGATCCAAGCATCTTCAAGTCCCGAGTGCGCAGGTTTCGTGATTGGACAGTCGGTCCCCGCGACTCAAGAAGCGTGCTACGGCATGGATATTGACCTCAGCAGAAGGTAGCCACAATCGCAGGAGCCACACCACCTTATGCATCGTCCACGATGGGAAGCTCTCCTTTTTTAGGGTCTCAAGGCCACCCCATCCAGGCCTCAACCCAATCACACCAGCGTCCAGTACAGGGAGTCAGGGAAGCTACCGCAGCAACGCACTGAGGACTCGAGTGAGTGGGAGAGACGTGGGAGGGAGGCGAGGGCCAACCTGCTTGGACGAAAATTGGAGAACCGTGGCCAACAAGTATCGGACACTTCAGCCTGCAGCCCTGGCTATCAGTGTCGCAAACTTTCTGTTAGACCTCGAGCATGCGATTTGTACGACAGGGAGATCCTAGCCAACAAAACACCGGCCGCGAATCATGTCTGGCTCCCTAAACCCGGACGCCAGTTGGGGGCGGAGGTAAAGGGACGTTCGAGAGTCGCGGGTCTTTGTTTTGTTTGTCTTTTTTCGCCTGCTGGCTGGGCTGTCAGGTTGGACGGAGGACGGGCGGGGGCGAGAATCGATGCGGCAGCCAAGTAGCGCCCTTCAGCATGTCGATCTAAGCAAGGCGCGAGAACAGAAAGAGACGCACGACGGCTGCTCGAAGCGAGGCCGCAGCGCTCGCTACTGTCTCTTTCACGTCGTACTGGTGCACCTGGGTCAGCCAGTGCGCTGTGGCTCGAGGACGCCTCCGAGGTGTCGCTCCAATGGCAAATGGCAGCGGTGGCATGCCAAACAGAAAAGATGCGCAAAAGCGCCGCGCGTAGTCGCATTTCAAGGTGCGCGGTTGCGCTGGGTGGAAGACATGGAGGACAAGTACCGATACTTGTGCGACCACTCCGTACCGCTGCTGAGGGAGATTGATGACACCTAAGCAGCCCAAGAGACAGTCCCCCCTTGTCGCCAACTCACGTAAAGTTTAAGGCAGCGTGCCATCTACCGAGCGTTTGGAGGGCAACCTAGTCCTGCTACCTGAGGTGAGGGGGCGAGCCAGTCTGAAGGGAGCGCCTGGAGCACGCCAGCGACCGCGGTCGAGGCAGAGGCATATGGAGGCGATGTTGGAGGGCGTTGCAGGGTTGGGGTCGCACTGCTTCACCTGGGAGTGTCAATGATGACATTCGCTGCTGCAGACGGTGGCCCTTTTCTACTGAAGGGCAATGCACGATGGCGGCATGATGATGAACACGGGGCGAATGGCGGTGATGGAAGCTGATGCCGATGCTGGTTTGCTGCAGTCATCAGTCCCGTGTGCCGACTGTCACCTTGGTGGTGAGGGCCAGCCAATTCGAGATTGCGATATGAATCGCCGAATTGTTTGTCGAACAAGTCGCATGCGAGTTGCGAGATGCAGAGGTTCTGCAGGTCGCCAGCAGGACTAGCATCAGCAACAGCGTCTGCCGCCACCAGCACTAGGAACCAGGGCGAACGGATTGCGTCTTGTGTTGCAGGGAGGGGAGGGAGCGATAACAGAACAGCACCATGCACGATATTATGATGCCCTGGCAGTAAGACCCGGTCGTCCATTCCCAGAGACTCGCGCTGACCAATAGGAAGGCATTTTAGGAAATCGGGTTGAGACTCGAGACAGAGCAGCTGAAGGTACCGGATACCTTTCTCACCATATTAAGATTTCTCCTCACCACCAAATGCTTGTTCGCGTGGACGTACGACTCTGCAACATTCAGTATGAGACTGATGGTTCGGGTACGAACTTTGAACGCCATGTTAACTCAACCTGTTGAACTCTGGCGACTTTCCCTCCTACTGATAGTCCAGGCCGAAGTACCGAATACCGAGTGGTGTTTTGGGGGCCTTGTTAACGACGGAAGGTGGAGGTGAAGGCGCCGTCTTCCACAGACGCCATTGGTCAGGTCCGGCTTAGGTCACTCTGGAAGCGACGATGGGTGGAAGCTGGAGCCTGGAGGGTCCTCGGGCTGTCTCTCATCTTGATTTTGGACGCTGTACCCCTGACACCTGAGACGGGTGGACGGGTGGACAGTGATGGCAGCAGCACCAACCGCAAAATGGCCACCTCAAGAGCGGCGGACTGAACATTGGCAGACAGGCAGGCAAACACACGAAAAGTGGTACGAGTCCAGGCAGCGAAAGACACGAAGCAAGAAGGTGGAAGGTACATGCATCAGCACACAACCGCCCACAGGATGCCATGTCACTCCGGCCACTCCTATTTATAAAAATTTGCGCATAATTTGCATGGCCTCAGGTCGCCGTCTGGACGGGATGAAAGCCATGGAAACCCCCGATTCCTCAAGACAGAGATTCTTGTTGGTTTTCCAAGCCGCTCAATCCTCGACTCTCCGGAACTCTCGACTGCTCGATCAGCAAGACCATGCTTCGCACACCACGCCGACGTTCTCCCGTGCCGTTTTGCACGTACGGCAAACGCAAATATTCAGACATATCCAAGCCAGACACAGCAGTAGACACAGGCACATGTTGCTGCTCTGCTTACGTCTACAGATACCTTTGCACGTACGCCCGCCCCTTACTCGTCGAGTCTGACCTTTGAGTCTGGGATGGCTTCGGATACTCTCTGCGTGCAGGCAGAATCCGTAGGCGGAATCCGTACCCCGTACCTCACCGTCTCATACGGACCAGCCGTCTTCCACATTCACGGCCACTCACCCCCTCTTTCCGCCGTCGTTCCAGTTCCATTTCCCGCTCCCGTCACATCCGTCTCCGCCTTTGCCTTGCTAGGGCCAAAGAGGAGAGGGTCCCGTCACCACCAACACCAACGCACACCAAACAAACCATCACACTCGCGGCCGCCCATTTCTTCTCTCTTATTACTCATTAAATCTTTGCATGCCGCTTCTCGTCCCTCCACTGGCGCCCGACGAAAATCTCTTGTTCGCTTCTCTGTTTATGTTTACCAACACGGTCACCACGAAACGCTCTTATCAAGCCGATCAGAGCATCCACAGTCGGACCCTGTGGAGAGAAGAGATATGTTGGACTCGAGAGGAAGAGTGAGAGAGAGCTTCTCTCATATTCTACCAACCTTTTGCTTCTTTCTCCCCCGTTTCATTTTTTATTTTTATTTTTTTCTGGCTGACGTTGTAGGTGCCGATGGCGGAGGGCTAACAGGTCAGTCCCGTCATCAGTCCTTCATCAGACGGCCCTTCTCCTCTCACTGAGTTGCTGAGTCTTGTCTGGTTGCGGCCTGAAACTTGATCTGCCTGAGGCATCCAGGTTTCCGCGCTAGAGGGACTGGCTGGATTGCCGTAGCCACTCAGATCAGAGTTTCCACCGCCTTTCGGGACTAGCGCCACGTAAGTACTGGTACCTTCGTACCCTGCTTTTCCTCACGCAGTATCCGTACCCACGGCACGGGCTTTGGCTTTTTCTGTGCCCCCCGTCTCTCACAGTCACTCTCACTCTCACTCTCAGAGTCTGTTGCCCTCTCTCTCACGCATTTGGGAAAAAGAGCCTTCCCGTCTCCTACCTACTCTCTGTCTCTCTTTTTTTTCGCCTGCGCGCCTTTGCGCACCTCACACTCTTCGCTCAACATGGAGTGAGCTGTGGCCGCACCGGCTGGACACCAGGCTGGCCTGGATTGGCAAGTATGGCTGGCTGTTGGCTGATTGGATCCTCGGTCGCTAGCTGGCTGGCAGCCAGTGCTCCTCAGCAGCGACAAGCTTCATTCTGCAGGAACAGATTCAAAAGAAACATCGTCATCAGCAACAAGAACAAGAGCAAAAAATCGCTACGGCCAGCCGGAGACAAGCTCGGTGCGGATGGAAAGTGTGAGGTGAGCGAGGTGTAATGGTAAGGTAGATGCAAGTGCACCTACCAACCTGGTATCCCAGCACCCTCTTTTTCCCTTTCCTACCTTACCTATCCCCCCCAAAATCCCGTCCTGCCGTTCCAGGTCTTGTCCCCCCCATTTCGAGTCCGCAGCCCGCGTACCAAAGCACAAGGTGCCGTGCCGGCCAGTCCTGGACCAGTCCCAGTTCTGGGTTCCCCCCAACACCCCAAGTCAGTCCCCAGCGGTGCAGTCAGTCTTCGCCCTCGCCCTCTTTTCTGGCTTGGCCTGAGGTGGCCCATGGTCCGCGCGCTCCTGCTGCTGGTGCTGCTGGTGCTGGTGCTGCTGCCCACTGGTACCTGTCTTGCTCAACTCGCACTGGACACTCTCCAGGTCTCCTCCTCTCTGGCACCGCACTGCTCTCTGCTGCTTGGTCTTGGTGCTGCTACTGGTAAGGTACTGGACTGGTGCTGCTCACACTGACACTGCTCTCCCGCTGCTACTCTCCTTCGGGGGACCCATCCATCCATCCATCCTTTCCAGTCCTTCGTGTCGTGCCCCCTCTCTTCCTCTCTTTCAATCTCTTTTCCCTCTTCACCCTCGACGCCCGAATCACCCTTTCCTCCCTCGTTTTCGGTCGAAACAACTCGGATTTCTCCTCATCCTGCGTCTTTTCTACTCGATACAACCATTCGATCCGCCGCATCCCTCACCCTCGACGAGGCGCATCCGCTTGACCCTTCCCTCGACCAACTCTGCCCTTCTGCTCCTCCTCGTGGCCACACACGCACTTCGCGATCACTCGAAAACTTTTCCACCCGACGACCACAACACTCTCTCGTGACGTGTCGACGAGGCGTATCTGGCTTGACGGAACCCCTTGAGACTCGCCAAACCACTTCCTCCCTCGACTTTTGGCCTTCTCGACGGCTTCCTCTTTGAACCCGCCTCGTCCGCTCGTCGAGTCCTTCCTTCCACCCTCGACGATTCTTCGACTCGCCTGTCCACCAGAGACATTCTTCGACGGATGACCACAACGACTGGTGTCGCTGTTCCTTCGGCTTCCTCGACGACTCGTCCCTGCGCGTCTACACAGGCGTCGTCATGCTACCCAAGCCGCAACGGTAATCAGCTTACGCATACCTCGACTCCAAGCTCCTTTCCGAGGCCCATTTAGATTATGACAGAAAAGCCGCAGCCGCTGTCCACGCAGCTCGCGACTCCTAGTCAGACCCTCTTCGCTCCCCCGAGCGTCCCAGTCTCAACACACCCTGTCCCACGCAAGGCCGAGACCGTAGAGGAAGAAGAGCCGTACACCATCAAGTGTATTTGCAACTTCTCTGATGATGATGGAAACACGATTTACTGCGAGACGTGCGACACATGGCAGCACATCGAGTGCTTCTACCCAAACAGCCGCGAGGAGGCTCTTCGTGAGGACTTCGCCCATTCGTGTGCTGACTGCAAGCCACGCCCGCTCGACAGACAAAAGGCCATCGAGCGAACCCGTCGACTCAAGAACGGCGGCGTTTCGGCCGAAACACCAGACAAGAAGGCCAAACGTCTCACTACCAAGAGTCACAAGAAGAAGCAAAAGCCCAACGAGTTGCAATTGAATGGCCACCCTACGGGCCAGGAGAACGCAAAGCACGGCAGTCCGAGCGACCACCCTCACCCGCCAAAGAAAGCGAAATCATCACACCGTCCTTCCCATTCGATCAGCTCACAGAACGCGAAGCGGAGCCCGTCGTACGGAAACGGTCGTCCTCAACCCAACGGACATCCTCCAAGTCCCGCAACTACTCCCCCTGATCTTCCAAGCGACTTTGAAATACACAACTATTCTGACGGTTTCCTTTCCCTGATCAAGGAGCAAGACGCTGCCCCCATCGTCCAAACAAACTCCTTTGCCAGCCTGACCATCTCAAACACCATGTCTTTGTGGCTTCGCGAACCCGAGCGGATGAGACAAGAGACGGGCGAGGAATTCAAGGACGTTTTCGCCAAGCTTCCAGCTGACATCGACTCGAGGAAACGTCCACTTCACGTTGAAAGCAAGAAGCTCCCTCTTGGTCCTGACACGGTCGTCCCTTGGCAATACCTGGCGACGCCGGCAGCTATCGAGAAGGATGTCCCCCTGATTGAACTTAACGGTCAAATCGGTTTTCAGAAGGATTACTGCGCAGACCCTGCCAATCTGTGGGAAGAACTCTCCTCGCCAATTCCCTTTGTCTTCTTCCACCCCATGCTGCCATTATACATCGACACCAGGAGAGAAGGATCGCTGGCCCGGTTCGTCCGGAGGAGCTGCAAGCCCAACGCAGTTTTGGACACGTATCTGAACGGTCAGTCAGAATACCACTTCTGGCTTGTGAGCGACCGCTACATCGCTGCGAACGAACAAATTACCCTACCTTGGGACTTCAGGCTGCCCAAGACGGAAAAGGCACGCATACTCCACCTGCTCGGTCTCGGCGACGACGACGCCCGCGGTCACGACGAACCTGACATGACCGAGGCTGAGTACCAACGGATATCCGGATGGGTCCATCGAATTCTATCAGAGTATGGTGGATGTGCCTGCGACTTGGGTGCCAACTGTGCTTTCGCCCGCTTCCATCGCCATTACCAAGCCAAGATGCAGGCTCGGCCCCAGAAGAAGAAGAGGAAGGCTAAGACTCATACCATTTCACCAACAAGTACCGGGCACGCCACAAATAGTCGGGCCGCTAGTGAAGGCCATCAAGACGACCCGGATGCCGATGGTCGATCTATTTCAGAGCGCAGCAAACCACCGAGCCGAGACCGAACGCCCGCGCGACAAGGCTCGCTGGATCAACCGGGCATACTGACCGAACCTACCGATAGGGATAAGAGAAAAGTCCAGATGGTCGAGGACTCATTCCGTCGGCTGGAACAACAACCTCCGCGAAAGAAGAAGCGTACTTCCGACGGTACCGGCTCGTCCAAGTCGAAGCCCAAGCCGTCAACCAGCAATGCCTCGACGGGCACCGGCAACTACGTGGACGCCGGCACATCCAGGAGCAAGTCCAACTCACCCAGTGGAGGCGCCTCACCACCAGCACAGAACCCGTTCAAGGCGCCCGCCTCTCGCACAGGGTCTGTCGCAGCACAATCGCAGCGGGAGTCATCGGCCCCTCGCCCTGTCTACTGTGACGCTGGTGTCCAAACCGATCCTGTGGAGGGAGAATGGTACAGCGAACCAGCTCAGACGCCGAAGCCTCGTCGCCGAATCATCTCTTTGTCCCAGCGTCTGCTGAACAACCGTCACCGATTGCGGTGCGATGAGGCCGAGAGGCGTAAGTCGCTTCCAACGCTAGCTGTTCCGTGTCCCTCATCCACCCCCATGGACGTCGATTCTCCGGAACCAAAGGCCTCCATAGGCTCGCCGACACCTTCCAAGGACGCCAGCGAGCAGGGGCCCAACAGTTCTCCCATTGCACCATCGACGACTGATGTGGCAATGACGGACGCTCCGACGAGTTCGCCCACTACTGCAAAGTCTCCTGTCCCCAACGAGCTCACCGTTGACACCGCTGTTAATGGTGCCAGCAGTCCGTTGAAGACAAAATCACCCGAACTTCGAGTACAAATGCCACCTGTACCGGCGTTCAATGGGCCGACCGCGGGCACGCCCAGCGCGACGACGCCGTCCTCAGCCACCACGACGGTTCAGTCACCGTTTTCTACGGGTAACCTTACGAGCCCGTTCGCGCCCCCGGCTGTGAACGGTGTCGCGGCGCACCCTAGCCCTGTGAAGAAGAAGTTGAGTCTCAGCGACTACACCAAGAGCCGAATGAACAAGAAGCCAGCCGGCGGACTGAAGACGTCATTGACGGGACCCGAGGAGACGAAGCCGGCGCTGCATTCGATTGTCGGCTCACCGGCGACGGAGAAGAACACGGACGCGCTCACACCCGTCCAGGCCAACGCGGTCAACTCTTTGCCCGCGGTGGCGGCACACAACTCTTTGTAACATGTATAGAACGGTGTCGGGTGTGCTTTCAGAATCTCAGGGCGACATCAACCTTCCTCTCTAAATACCACCAAAACTCACCAAGGCGGCGGTCTTTTTCGGCGTTCGGGCGGCGACGGGTTTACATGGAAGGGGGGAATCAGGGATTTCGGTTATATCCAGCGTCTTTTTCGGAAACAGCGGTTCTATGCTCGATGTTCATATGGAAAAAAGAGCCATGAGAGAAAAATGGAGCTGCGGAAACGATAAGGCACGTTGGACGACGGGCGTCACCACCAAACAACTCGTTATATGTTGTCCAACTGGGAAGCGAATTTATTTTCTTGGGAAAGGGATACTCTGGCGTAAAGCAAAGGCAAATCGGGGGGGGTTTAAGCTTCTTCAAGGGTGATATCTGGGAAGGGGGGTTTTCGAAAAGAGAGAAAGGTTTCTTCCACTTT